TAGTGCTTTATATATGTGTAGCATTGCATCAAAATTTGTATTATCTAATATTTGCCCCATAAAACCATGTGATCTCTTCTAACATTAATTTTTTCAATTGAATTACTTTGTTCATTTTATCATAACATTTCGAAAAGAATGTGAACTGTTTAATGGTTAAGAAAATTAGTTTGATATGCTACCAATAGTTTTTAGTATGAATATGGTTTTCATATTATTATATTTATATTTTGAATTTCAGTGTTGACAGGAACAAGTATCAAATACATATACCCCTGCCCCCTAAAATTGATCCTACAGTCACAATGACATGTAGGTTTATTTATAAATATGCTATGTTGTAATAAAATTATTTTATAATCATTTCAAAATAGTATACAATAATTTATAATGGGGTTGTCCTTGTAGGTTGAAGAGAAACCAGATGTTACCTATAGTGATGTAGGTGGATGTAAGGAACAAATTGAAAAATTAAGAGAAGTAGTAGAGACTCCACTATTGCATGTATGTAAATTACAATCTATTTGATTTATGAATATTAAATCTATTCCAATATCAAATACTTTTATTCTTACTTTTGGTACAAGTATCTTATTATTTATTATAGCCAGAAAAATTCGTTAAACTGGGTATAGAGCCACCGAAAGGAGTTTTATTGTTTGGGCCACCCGGTACTGGAAAAACTTTATGCGCTAGGGCTGTGGCTAATCGAACAGATGCCTGTTTCATTAGAGTTATTGGTTCAGAATTGGTCCAAAAATATGTAGGTGAAGGTGCACGTATGGTACGTGAACTATTTGAAATGGCACGATCTAAGAAAGCCTGTTTGATATTCTTTGATGAAATTGATGCCATTGGAGGAGCCAGGTAAAATATGAATCAAACAACAATAAGTATTAAATTGACAGGTTGACAATGCAAATATAAAGTTTCAGATTTGAAGAATTGTTAATTTTGTAACACCTGGTGTCTTTAAGTAAATGTTTAAAATTAAATTAGTTACAAAATGTGTAAAATATTAGTTATTATTTTTTTTGTAATAATAATCTTGTGTTTAAGGTTTGATGATGGAGCAGGTGGAGATAATGAAGTGCAAAGGACTATGTTGGAGCTAATAAACCAGTTAGATGGTTTTGACCCCCGGGGCAATATAAAAGTAATATTTATGTCATTAAAATTAAACATCTTACATAATATACTTCTGTGATATTAAATTAAAATTATATATTATATCTTTTAATATCCCCTATTACAGGTACTTATGGCTACGAATAGACCAGATACCTTAGATCCAGCGCTCATGAGGCCAGGCCGTCTTGATCGTAAAGTAGAATTTGGGCTTCCGGATTTGGAAGGAAGATCACATATATTTAAAATTCATGCAAGAAGTATGAGTGTTGAACGTGATATTCGTTTTGAATTGTTGGCACGTCTCTGTCCAAACTCTACCGGTGCTGAAATTAGGTATGAAATTCATTACTCAATTATCTTAAAATAATTAATGTGAACATTACTAATTGTATTTAAATTGTCCCTACATGTGTATATGAAACTTATAAAATATACTAAGTTAATGTTATGTCATTAGTAATCATTATGCTTATTATTATTTTTAGATCTGTTTGCACTGAGGCTGGAATGTTTGCTATTAGAGCTCGTAGGAAAGTGGCAACAGAGAAGGACTTTTTAGAAGCTGTAAATAAAGTTATAAAATCATATGCTAAGTTTTCTGCAACCCCGAGATATATGACTTACAATTAGTTAATAATTATAAAGTGTGAACGTGTAAACCTTTATAAGTAAGAGATTTTTGTAATACAGAAATTAAAATTATTTTCTTGTAGTTTAAGATTTATTGTTGTTTTGTTTCCATTTCTGATTAAAGTCAAAGATTTCAAGAATATATATAGATTTTAACAATTATAACAAAATGAATTTTAATGAAAAAAACAATAAGGTTGATATTAAAACAAAATTTGTTAAAAAAATCCTAGGTGTCTTACGTTAATACTTTAACTTAAACATCCTTTTTTAAAAAATCCACTAAGATTTTGTTTTCTTGAGCTTATACAAGCAAGCACAAAAATATTATCAGTAAGTAAGAAATTAACAGTATGAAAGACAAGTTGACTTATTAAATGGATCAAGTTGAAAAAATTCTAAAAATAATAGGATAATGCATGATAAGCAGATTTATTTGGAAAACAATCAAAAAATTATTTACTTAAAACTGCGTGTTGATATAGTTGAAAAATATAATTTCTGCTGACAAGAGTATTGCAAAAGAAACAAAGGATTTTATGCCCATATATATTTGTTTTGGATTAACAGTATACTTTAATTATCAATTCTACGTATCAAGTACTTGATATGGGTTTAAATGTTTTGAAAAACATTGGTGGATAGAAAATTGGAAATAAATATAAATAATTAATATACATTACAGTACATGACTGCCTCTAATCTTCTGTAGGCATGAAAATGTTAAATATATCCTTATTTAACAGGGTTTTGTGTTTTTCATTTGTTATAACCTGCATGAATACAAATATAATCGAAGGTGGAACATGTATTTAGTAGAATATAAGGTATATCATTTAGGATATATCAACAAGCTAAGTCAAGAGATAATTTTAACTTCGATGAGTCACTTTTGAATTGAAAAAGATGTGTAGCTTATTATTATAGTTTTACGTAGAAACTGAATTCTTCCTTCAAATGACATTCTTCGTTCGTGATAAGTATCGCGCTACATATTTTTAAAGTTGACTTTTATTAAATAAATTCACAGCTTCGGAAAATTAATGTCAAGTGTGTAAACTCTAAATTACCATCATTATATTAGTAGCTATACTCACTTCCATTATGGTTTAATTTGGTTTGCAAAATCGTAAACCCACATCAACTATGTATACAGTAAATTTCAATATAACTAACTAAACACTATTACTCTGCATAGATTTCACGGTTCACTCTGTACTAACTACCAAATCAAACTGCCATACAAATTCCGATCGCACATTATTTGGTTGATAAAGGCTGGAAAGTTGTAAGTGGTTCTGAACATTTCAACTGCAAGTCGAAATATAAGTTTTAACCACAAAACACTTCTCTAAAAGTTCAATTAAAAACATATCACTTTTTAACACATAGTATTCAATTTGCACCATTTACAACAGAAAAACCATAAACTTGTATGACAATATTATAAATCGTCACCTTTAACTTTAATATTACGAAGATATATATACATATACATAAATAACTTTATTAATAAGTTGTGAATATCAATGAAAAAAGGGCTACACTTTGCATTTGCATTAACCTTTGTGCCATCATTAGGAATTATGGGATACTGATATCGATATCCGTAACGGTCTTTACGAATGTTGCCCGATCACTGACAAATTTTATTGAAATTACGATCCGAATTTGCACAATTATTATATCGTAATAAATACTTTTATCGTATTTATTATGATAAGTCATTTATTTCTTCTATGGTAACTAAAACTCCGATACTAACGGTAAGAAAATATCCACTGCTAGTGCTAGGGAACTATAAATATATGAGAATAAATTAAACATACGTATATGATAAAATTATCAAAAAAAGTTATAGAAATTGATTGATCCACAAAAATTATAATTTGAAATAAAATAATATTCATGCCATAATAGATAAAAGGCCTAAAATCCTAAAAATAAATAAATTAACACAGCGACAGTGTTCAGGCGTAAGCCACGTGGGCGATTGGCGACCGGTGACGACCTCGCACCTCAAGAGGGCTCGCGAGAGTTTTTAATTAATTGAAACTTGTATAATTTTTATCACCATTTGATTAGCTGTAAATCTTATTTCCCCATACATTAGTTTAACTATAATTTGGTCAAATATAATTTACCGTTTTCTCGACTAGGAAAATAGGGGTGTGTGGCCCAAATTTCGCCGACGCTAACGCGTGATCCATAGATAAACAAGTATAAATGACAATAATTGGCGTGGTCTACCACCACACAGCGGAACTCGTTAAATCTAATCAGAAAATAAAATATATTACGATATTTCTTCTTTTTATTCGTATATGGGAGTTAGCCAGAATATATACTCAGGATTTATTTATAATAAGAAGTGAGAGAGTGCATATAATGGTAGTAGTTTACTGTTAACCATTCAACCTGATACGCTGCCAAAGAGATGGGTTCAATCCAGCTTTTACATTATAGTCCAGTCATTACAGTAAGTTCATCTCGGAATTCGAGATACCCAGCTGTAAGTCTGTAAATACTTGTATATCACCACCTAAAAGTTGTCTCAAAACCTACATATGTTGCGTACACCCTACCATATGTAGGTTTTGAGACAACTTTTAAGTGTCAATATACAATTATTTATAGACTTACAGCTAGATATCTCGATTTCCGAGATTTTTACCTAATTTAAGCTCATTTAAGCTTAAATGACTGGACGGACTATAATTTTCTTGGCGTTCGTTGGACATTACTTCCTGATATAGCCTATCCCATGCAATCAGATTCATTTACATATTGATGTTTCATTAATTAAACCACAGCACATTTATAAATAAAAAATATAATTCTTGAAATGGTCGATATATATGTATCATCAGCGCCGAAAGTGTAAATTATATGGTATTTTTTGAACACACAAAATTATATGTTTGTAGGTAATTATTACGGAGATATATATTTATATGTAATAAAATACTATATCAGATTTTTAATTTTAAAATCAGTGATTTATTATAGTACAAAGTTAAAATAAAATAGTTTCATAGTCTTATCTATTTGTATATTAAGTAATTAACAATTGCGTATTATACAAAAGCATCTGATATCAGATTGGTGTATTATGATCACAGTAGGAGTTTCAAAACTATTGACTAGTGCTAATAACAATATTTACAAAATCTTATAATATATAATATTATATATATTTTTTAATACTCTATTATATAAATAAATAAAAATATTTTTGCCTATGTCACATTATGGTGCAGTTTTTCTGGTTTTATTTTCAACTCAGTTTTGTAACTATTTTTTGTTTTGCTGCGGGTGATCTGATTGCTGATTTTCTGTAATAATGAATTCAATATTTAAAACTATATCAAATACAAACTGAATAAAAAGCAGTCGATAGTCTAATAATTACCTGAGTTTGTTTCTTGCTCAAGCGACCAGTAGCTGCTAAAGCTGCTACCTCGAAAGCGTCAGATACACTTCGATCTGCTAATTTGGCCGAAGTCTCAATGTAAGTTACTGCCCCGATTTTGCGTCCTATCACCATAGCCTGGACAAATCATTAATAATTAAAATTAGTGATGTTGCTAGAAATATTTTGACTGTTACTATTATTTTAATTACTGATTAGTCAAGGCACAGTTTTTGCCTGTAACAGTTAACAATTTTTCTATTTTGTTGCAGCTAGTAACAAATAGCGAAACAAAACATTCATAAAATGTTTTTAATTAATATTTTACGTCTATTATGACTCAAAATTTAAATAAAGAAAATGTTGTTTAACATGCTTACTTCTTCAGGAGAAACTAGCACATCTCCGTTTTTAATATCCGCCTGACAGCCACATAAAATTATAGGAGCTCCGGGGGCGTATACTTGCACCTCAGGATACCACTAGAATTAATAAAAATTACTGATATAAAGTATGATTTACGTTTGTACCCAACTCTAGCTAGGAACAGTAGCAAATTTAAATAAGATTGATCAGTTTACCCCAAATATTAATAATAACATGATATCTAATTAATTTATGATTTAAGCAAATATCATTAACCCTTTCCACTCAGATGCCGCCGCTCCGGCTGCAAAATTCATATAAATCTCGGAATTCGCGAGTGGAAAGAGATATATTTAAGATACTAATTACGAACAAGAATGTTTTGGTCAAAAATAATTATTTTTATGTTCACACTTGTGAAAACTAAATCGAGAACTATAGTATTTATTTTAAAAAATCAGTGTGGCGAGCATTGACTTAGAATATAGAAAAAAATGTATAGTTAATTTGAAATCAAATAAAAATTGTGTTGTTAAGTAGAATTTGAAGAAAAAATAGGAATAACAGAGTTCGAATAGCTGAATTGTATTAGGAGTAAGAAGAGAAGTATTGGAACTGAGCTGAAATTAAAAGAAGAATGAAGAAAAAATGGAATGAAGCTAGAAGGTAAATAGAATTAGAAATTTGAAAAAAGAGCAAGAATTGAAGAAAAAATAAGAAGAAGAATATAGAATAGGATACATATATAGATTGAAAGTGATATAAAAATTAAAATGTAAATAAATAAAAATGTTGTAGGTGGCTAAATGCTCAGAGTAAGCGAGGCCAAATCAAAATTAAAAAAAAAAAACAGTTCTAAACTCACATAAACATAGTTATAAAATTTGTATAAAAATCAAATATACCAAGCAACAAAAGAAATGCAATATTGACGCATTCAAAACATTTATTTCTTAAGAATAAAGATTCAAAATTAAAAATTAAAAAAGTATAATACAACTAAAAGTAAATTAAATAAACAAACATAATATTTACCTTATTAACAATATTTTCTAGCATATGCGGTTCCATAACAGAAAAACAAAATAAAAACGCGTTAGCATCCTGATAAGCTAAGGGCCGAACAGTGTCATAAGCAGAGGAACCTTAGATAAAAAATAAAAAACATTAAAATAAAGATAACAAAATATAAAATAACAATCTTAAGGCAGGTATTATTACCTGAGGTATCCCAGATTTCAAAATTCATGTTAATGCCGCATAATTCAGTTGAAGATGAGTATTTCTCGAAACTTGTAGGCACATAGCACTGAAATAAAAAAAACAATTAATTAATAAATAGAAGATAATTAACTTCTATGAGATATGACAATGTTTATGCATTTGTCTGATAATAACATAATTATGAATGTTAAAGGTAATAAAAAAGTAGTGAAATTAATATTTTTTTGTCGCATTAATTAACAAAAAATACCAGTGATTTGCTTAAATACGAAGTATAAAACTAACGTATCGACATAAGTATCATGGATTGGTAGCACCTAATGCTAAAGCAAATTTTGCTATCCTCTGAAACACATCATCAGAAATCCAAGAATATTTTGGCAAGAACAATCATAGTATAATATAAATTTATAATTATTATGCAAACATTGGTAAATATTTTCGGATTCTAAAAAGGTTGTCCCGGAATCATATGCTTCTGGCATAAGTGGAACTCCTAAATATTAAAAAATACCCGTCAAAAATATTTGTATTTGTATTATTTAGATATATATTTTTTATTTCGACGAAAATATATTTTTAAAGCAATACTATAGTATGTTTTTGAAGTTCTATAATATACTGTTAACATTTTTTATAAATAGATCATATCAAAATACGTAAACAGATACATGTTTTTTCAAACTGAAGCCAATAAACATTGACATTCACACCGTCGACACAATTTTATTCTTGAAATACTGCAATTTTGTGGTATCAATATTTTATAATGGACATCAAGTGATATAAAAATAACATACATACAAAACATTCGCAACGGGGCAAAAAAAAACTTATTAGAACTATCATTTAGTTCAATATCGATCTAAATCAAAAAGTATAAATAGGGAAAATAGTTGGACTGTAGTGAGCATACGCTACTAAATATGGTAATGATATTATAGATAGTTTTTATAATAGGAAAATATTAAAATTCAGCAATGACTAAATACGCCTTTCTTCGTGTTTGTTGTACTCACCACCCACTGAATGAAATTCATTAAAGCCGAGTGGGCACACCGGTGCGGCAACGCGCCAGAATAAGTTTTCGCAATAACAATTCGTCATTTTGTTTTTACGTAATGTAAAAACGCCATTGACAAATATTAGCGCAGTTTCCGCTAAAGAGAGAAAATTATCGATCTTTTAGGCTGAATGGTTTATTTTTTTAATCATTTTGTATAATGCTCGCAGACTATCTATATTCAACTTAGGAACTAACTTCCCGTAGGATAAGTAAACGCAAAAAATCGAAGTGAAAATAATTATATATCTTTACTTTTAAAAGTTTCTGAACGTTTTGACATACCTAAGAAAAAATGGATGTGTGTGTGCGGTAACAAATTTTCGTTGACGATTTTGGGAACACGGGTCAACCGATTTGAATATTTCAAAAAACATTCGATTTGTATTAATGGGGAAACATGCTGAATCGCTTTTGGCCAAGGCAGGTCCAGCCGTTTCGAAGATACAGAGCAAAAAGTGCCAAAAATGGTAACTCCGTTTTTAAGAGAACGGAGCGTCCGATTTCAATAATTAAAAAAACATTTTACTTGTCAAACTAAAAAAGTGATTGAATTTATGGGAAGGGGGCCGTTTAAGTATTACGTAAGCACTATAGGGGGGGGGGGGTTATTGATTTGCTTATTTTGGGCATTTTGGGTAAGAAATTTGCTTACTTTTGCTGACAAGGGGGAGGGGGGGTTAAATAATTGTAATAAATCCGCTTACGTAATACTTGAACAATCCCAAGGCAGGTACAGCGGTTTCGGAGATACAAGGAAAAAAGTAAAAAATGAATGCCATTTGTCGGTAAAAAATGATCATTATGCGAATGCAAATTAAATTACCAGATATTTCATATAAGTACAAATTTTGTGCATGTTTCTATGAGTTCCGTACAAATATTTATCCGTTAGACTGCAACGCGGCGCTTAGGCGCTTCGATATCTTCTCTCTAAAAAGCTATGCAGCGGCTATTGAAAAAAAGTTCAAAAGTTACAAAAAAAATTCAAAATAAAAAATCTTTTTTTTTTCAAAAATTTAAAAATTCTTAAAGATCTCATGTTTTCGAAGTTTTCAAAAAAAAGCCTTTAAATTTTTAATTTTTGATACGGGAAGTTCTAGCAATTAGCCTTAATGCACGATGCCAAGCACCACTAGTTTTTAAATGGACCTAATACTAAGATTTGTGGTATTTAATCTTTAATATTGTCGGATAATAAAATTTAGTAGTCCATTTCTTATTATTAGTAAACGATCTCGACAATACACTTCCAAATCGCCGTGAATGCACCGCGGCGCATTCAGTCTCGAGACGAAATCTTATGAATGAACGATAGCCTCGTGGTAGTAATGGTAGTACGTACAAACTCGTTTGCATAACAACATGCGGTGTTGCGGCATTCCGACACGCACGAGGGTCACAAAGACCTCACGGTGAGCCCAAGAAGTAAAAAGCGGCTACCCATCAGATACCCGATCCGATCTCTCGGGCTCGCCATTCATCGCTGCCTTCCCAGAATCACAATGCCACTACTCTGGGGCTCTGGCCTGTGTACTTGTGCCGGCATTCCTTCTGTTTCACAGAAATGCCATTTAACACCTCGCCTTCTACAAATATTATGTGTTCAACATTATAATACCAAATCTAGTGCGCGTTTGTTTAACTCATTTGGGAATTGCGGAACGTATTAGAACAAGACGTAATAAACATTTCATTCAGATTCATTCAGTCGCTTAATTTTAAAAATTCATCAAAGTTAAAAAAAAAAAATGAGTGACAAAAGTCACTTATGTGTTAGTTTTATGTAATAACTTTACTTCAAAATATAGATTACCAAAGTATGTTTCAAATTGACTGTTTCCTGGCATTTGTATTAAAATAAATAATTAAATCAAAATTATTTCACACATTAAATTTGTATGGGCTCGCCCGTAGGTAAGCGGTTAAGAGCGACGGGACTTGTTTCAGAGGTCCCTGGTTCGATACCCACTTCGAGCAGCCTGTTGTCAGGCAGCAGTGACAACGTTTTTCACTTGGACATATAGATAGCAATATGTTTACAAGTAAAAATATCCCTTGTCCGGCATTGCTGCACCAATAAAAAGTCAGCCCTATTAGATTAATTCTAATAACAAAAATCATCAAATATGGATGGATTAACCATTGGGTTACCATCTAAAATACGAAGTAATGAGAAGTTTCAGCCCAACAGCTCATAGGACGTAAGGTTCTGATTGCTGTTAAAAATATATAAAAAAAAAATAAAAAATTAAATTTGTATAATTTATACCTGCATAATGGGTGCATGTGGAACTTCTCATACCAACAATAAAAAATTTAATTCAAGATTCAAGTTTTTTTAAAGCTGTGAAAAACTTTCTTCATTGAAAAAATTGAATTTTTTTTCTATATTTTGGAATTTCTTAACTTTTTTCAAAGCAATCGCTCTACGTTAGGGAAATTGAAAATATGTTCTTGCATTTGAAAATAAAAAATATCGTTGAACACAAAAGCTAAAACTTTACTACTTACAACTTTATTATATTATTCGTTATAATACAAAATACAGTGGTAGTATTTTTATTGCGGATGTTATACAGTCTTTCATTTCCTTCGAAATTATTTTTACATACACATATCTGAACGCACTCTACGCCTGGGTGATAAATTTCTTTAAATAGAATATTTCTTGTGAACTATAATTTGTACAATAATAAACAATTGTACTGCTTACTGCAAGTTCAAGATTTAATTTCAAAGTCTATATATCATTTCTTATAAATTCTTGAAAGATGATAACGAAACGAAAGACCGAAAGACGATTCCGAACATTTCAGAAACATTAAAAGAGATTAAAATATTCAGCTTAATTCATTACGTAAACAATAATTTTTTTAATCATTTAAATGGTATCTCGTATGTCACATATATTTAGTCAACATTCTAGTCAAGATAACATTTTGATACTTTTTGCGCATTAATATAACTATTACTAAAGATAGATAAAATGTCTTTTATACTCATTAGTATTTAAATAATAAGTTTTAATGAAATATGATGACAAAGTCTGATAATAGAAATAAAGGTTCATTAAATAAAATATGGAAATGAACACTCCGCACTCATTTACCTCCTGCGTGGCCACCTCTAAGTAGTAAAATTCCCATCTCGTTAGTTTCAAAAAATCTGATGCTCTTAATAGAAAAAAATCAAGTTTCTAGTGTAAGAAGGAGAGACGTCTTTTAAACAGTTTTAAAATAATATGACCACTGGGAAAAAAATATTAAATAAGCTCTATAAGTATTGAAAATTTCTAGTAAATATAGAATGTAAGAATCTATCGAGCGCAACATAATATTTATTATAAATAAATTAATATTCCAAATAATTAATATCAGTTCACTTGAGCAATTAATAAGTAAATATATCTTCATATCATATGGCTGAATTATGTGCGTTACTCTTCTACTTTCTGAGAAGAATAATAATACATTTAGAGCGTCAATAACTCAATGGTAATTGGAAAGATATACATAATCATGTTCCAAGAAAAATACATAATTAAAATATTTTTTCTCCCATTCCCATTTTACAAATAACTAAACTAAGAGACAATATTATGAAAATTTAAAATTAGCAGAGTTAGAATAATCTATTTAATCTATCACTTGTAAAATTTCTTTTCAACTTAATTTTCTTTTCTATTTGCTATTTTCTATTTTATACACCTTTGCCAGGGTAAAAGTTCGGTCGGTCCTTTTTACCCCACCCAGGTGTAAGCTTTACTAGAGAGTATATAAAAAAAAACTGTTGAATCTACTTAAAATTAACAACGAATTTTATAAAACAAAAAAAAGCGTATACTTAAAAATTACATCAAGGTCTCGTAAAATAAACGACAGTGCTCACAACCAAAAAAACTAACAACGAATGAAAATATTTTTGTTATGGACTTTCAAACAGGTGATAGCTGGTTATACATTTTTTACTGGTTTTTTAGATATCGGTTGTCGACCTATTTACCCGCGGACCTTTAGGCCCCCGCTCTACCCTATATAAAAAAAAATAATAAATAATAATCGAAATCTAAGAATACTAAATTCTCTAGGCACAAAAGTGATGAATATTTAATCAAAGACTAATGGAAAAAACTCAATAAATATTAAACGGGTGAAAACATTAACACAAAAATGTTGATCTGCCCTGTTTGACACAGTGGTGTGAAAGTATGTACCTAACGATGGTCGATCATTATATATTATGCGCGGCATTTGGTAGCAGAAAAGGCGTCCGAGAAAAATTCACAGAATTGAAGATGCGAACGGATGTTTGGCACCAGCACAGGGTCGTCTGCAAGAAGAATGGAACTAGCAAGGCAAGTACTTGACTCAGGATTTCAGACCCACCGCAGGGCTAAGATAGGAGGAAGATACTCAAGATAATTTGAGACACATTCAAAAATCAACATAAATTACAAATAGCCATAAATCTATACATCTGACATGAGAATCGGTATCCAATTTGATTCAAGCGATTTGGAAAGAATTTGATGAATTTCAAACATAATTCGGTAATCCAATTAATTGATAATTTCCAATCATACTTTGAAATAATATATCTTATCAATTGTCACACTTTTATTATGAAATTTCTATCACGTTGCGTAAATTTCTCGAAGAGTATTATTTTCTAGCAATTTATATATTGAATCATCAATCAATTATATTATGAGAACTAGTGGGGTGTATGGCATCGTGCCTTATGGCAAATTGCTGGAACTTCCCGTACCGTAACGAAATGTTCGAAGAATACTGAATGTTTTCAAATAGATTATTATTAATATTGTAACTTTGTCTAATATTTATAAGAATTATATAAACTGAATTGCAAAGTTGAAATTATTTGTTTAAAGTATATTAGAACTATAGTCAGAATTAAAAATAAAATCTGAATTATTTTCGATATATAAAATTTTTTTTTTTGAAAAAAAAAAGTTGAAACAAAAAAATGTTTTTTCCAAAATCAATTATTTTGTTAAGACAAACAGAAAGTTCTTTGAATCATTTAAATCGGACGCTTAGTTCTCTCAAAAACTGCCATTTTTTACACATTTAGCTCCGTATCTTCGAAATGGCTGGGCCTGCCTTTGCCAAAAACTAATGAACACTTCTCCCTATCATTACTAATTGAATGTTTTTTAGATCATTCAAATCGGATGCTCCGTTCTCTCAAAAACTCGATTTCTATTTTCTGCACACTTTGCTCTTTATCTCCGTAACGGCTGAACCTGCCTATGCCAAAAAAACTAATCAGCTCATCTCCCTATCAATAAGGATCGAATGTTTTTTGAACCATTCAAATCGGTTGATCCGTGCGCCCGAAAACGTGACTAGAAATTTGTATCCATACATACATACACACACATCCATTTTTTCTGAGATATGCCAAAATGTTCGGAAACCTTCAAAACGTCGAGAAATGTAAAAATTTTCAATTTCGATTTTCGGCCCATTACAATAACTTACCCTACGAGAAGTTAAAAATAATATGTGCTAGGTCATAATAATTAGTTTAAAATTTTTATTAACAATTTTAAGTAAGCTTTTTTTGTTATTTTTTCATTTTTTTTATTTTGGAACTATAAATTGTTCTATAAGCTGTTATTGTTGTACATTTAGTACATTAGTCTAGCGCTTCGAGACGATAACCCAGTGGTTTACCACTCTCTTTCTGTTGAGATTATATTAGATCTATTTATAATAGTAAATATATCGGATTGTAATTGAACTATTAAAGCAATACCCAGGAATTCTCACTTGGTCATACTTTAGATCTATTATCCCAAGTAATATTCTGATATCACTACTGCTTGATATTAAGCTGCCAAGGTGGGCATTGAGTTTGAAACCAGGAATTGCAAAACCACGTTAAAATTGAGTAAGCTAATATAAATATTAGCAACTCGTTCACAAGTGCATCAATTATCAAAACTTATTTTGTACCTTTTTATTTAAGCAGCATAAATTTTAATAATTCAAAACTTTAACGAATGCAGATTTGTGTCTGATGAATGATTTGATAAATATATATATATATATATATATATATATATATATATATATATATAATGACTTTCGCGGCACGTGCGTTGGTACATTCATATGAGTATTTTGTAATTCAAACAAATTCTTGTTCTTATCATATAGCACTAAAATACAAATATACATGAAGTCTATTTGTACATTCTAATATTAACAATATTCATTTTATCAATCTTTCGTAGAATGAACATTTATACAATAACGTCGGAATAGTTTTCTTCATGCAAATACATTTAAGAGTTTAAATATAGACATGAAATAATTCACTAAACAAGAATTTTGAATAATCTGATCAGACACGTCATTTTATACAAAATAATTAGTTATCATCGACAAACAAACAAAATTTCTCTCCATAATAATCACAATTATCACTAATTTAATTTAATTGTATGCCAAAAACTTTTTTAAATATAATTAGAGATTTTCAAAACCATTTCAAATAATAACGAAACAGCGTGTCCATTAGTAGCGATACTGAACGGATCAGGAACAACGATAAATTTTAAGATATTTCTGTCATTATCAATTAAAATGTGTTGAACAATTAATCATCAAATCACCAGAAGACGGTTAAATATAAAAATGGCTTTAAAACTTTGCTATACATAATTAAAAATTTACTTTGTACCAATCAATTATTAAAAAATGTCTAAATAGAAGCATCAGTGATATAATCAATAAACACTAATAATAAGAAAAAAAATCAAAACGATTAATGTCAAAATACCACTCCAAAGCCTGTATGTATAAAAGATTAACAATGATTATTTAAAAAAAAACATTGGAAATTCTAACCGTTTTCATTTACTTTAAGGTCAAATAATTACTAGTAGTAATTGGTTCTAAAGCCTACATTAAATGACAATACATAATTGATTGATTTTAAAGTAAAAATATCGATGTTATTTATTCACAAGGCTTCAAAAATATTATATACTACAATAAATAAACTTTTACAAATATGTATTTACTTACATTTGTAAATGTGCTGCTGGTGTGCCTTTTAGCTAAGGAAGTCTTTCCTGATCTTGTATCTCCAACTAGTACTAATTTCAAATTCTTTTGCTGCTCTTGACAGGACTTCGTCTTATTATTTTCTTTTCGAGACATCTGTTAATGATATTATAATAATAAGTAAATATACTGAAGTATTTTATAGCTTTATTATAAATTTTATGGTTTATTTCGAATTTCTGTTAGAATTAGAAATTTATTATAATAAAAATAGAATACAAATTTAACTCATAGCTTTATAAAATTTATAAAGTTATTTATAAAATTTAATCATTCAAAGTAAAATATGATTATAATTTTGTCAATTGAAATAACAAAATAATCCAAAAATTTTAACTGGTTGATATTTTTTCGATAAAGAGGGTTCTGAAAAGTATGCTTCAGTTTTTCATTCTATCACAGTTATGGAAGTGAATTCATTGAAGTGAAAGGATAATTTTGCTCATACATCGAAGCGATTTTGATTTAAATTTGCTCAAATTTTAATACTTGTCAAAATCATATTAATTATTTTTGGTATCATGCTGTAATGCACATAAGTAAATCTCTACTAAATTTTAATTTTATTGAACGAGTACTATGAAAAAATTCAATGAAAGGAAATTGTTTGACCCCTCCGCCCGGTAGAGAATCATAAAAATAGACATCTCCAGTTGTTCATTTCAGTAGTAATTCGTTTTGTGTAAGAAAGACATGTACTGAGTGGTTGCAGGAAGTTTACATGAGATAACATGGCTAAATAATAAAACACTACATCCGCTATCATCACGAAACTGTTTGAGTGCAATCATATCCGACATGATCGGTTCGAATTACAATCATATCTTATCAATATCATTTTTTAAGGTTCAAATAAGACTTATTAGTGTACGATAAGACAGACAAATTAGTTATGAAACTCGATGGTTTGATGGGAACTATTTTTGGGAAGATATCTGGAGTAGATTAGGAATTGTATAAATTTGAATTGATTTGAAACGGCTGGACCTGTTTTTCAGATGTTTTTTAAATCAATTAAATCGGTTGATCCGTGCTCTCGAAATCGTGAACGAAAAATTGTATCCAAACATACACACGTATATACTACATACATACACGCATCCATTTATCCTAAGATGTGCCAAAATGTTCAGAAAGTCTAAAACGTAAAGATATATAAAAAAATATTTTCGTTTTTTTGCGATTATTATAACTTATATTACGGGAAGTTAAACATGTATATATTCTCTTATATTTAATCAGTTTTAATTAAAAAAAGCATTCATAACCGTAGTAAATATATTAATAGCAGAAATAGAGTCGCTAAAAAGCGTGTATAATCTCATTTAATATTTTTATAAATATTTTGATAAATATTTAAACTTCCACAAATGTCAATATCAAATTTCTAAAAAAAATGTAAACTAGTGGGGTGTATGGCATCGTGCTTTAAGGCAAATTGCTGGAACTTCCCGTACCGTAACGAAATGTTCGAGGAATACTGAATGTTTTCAAATAGATTATTATTAATATTGTAACATTGTCTAATATTTATAAGAATTATATAAACTGAATTGCAAAGTAGAAATTATTTGTTTAAAGTATATTAGAACTATAGTCAGAATTAAAAATAAAATCTGAATTATTTTCGCTATACAAAAAAAACATTGTTTTGTAAAAAAAAAGTTGAAACAAAAATTTTTTTTTCTCCAAAATCAATTATTTTGTTAAGACAAGCAGAAAGTTCTTGAATCATTTAAATCGGACGCTTAGTTTTCTCAAAAACTGCCATTTTTTATTCATTTAGCTCTGTTTTCTTCGAAATGGCTGGGCCTGCCTTTGCCAAAAACAAATAAACACTTCTCCCAATCATTACTAATTGAATGTTTTTTAGATCATTCAAATCGGATGCTCCGTTCTCTCAAAAACTCGATTTCTATTTACTGCACTCTTTGCTCTTTATCTTCGTAACTGCTGGACCTGCCTTCGCCAAAAACTAATCAGCTCATCTCCCTATTAATAGGAATCGAATGTTTTTTGAACCATTCAAATCGGTTGATCCGTGCGCCCGAAAACGTGACTGCAAATTTGTATCCATACATACATACACACACATACACATCCATTTTTTCTGAGGTATGCCAAAATGTTCAGAAACCTTCAAAACGTCGAGAAATGTAAACATTTTCAATTTCAATTTTCGGCCCATTACAATAACTTACCCTACGGGAAGTTAATTATGAACTCATTTTGCATATCAAATTTCTAAAAAAAATGTAAATTATGAACTCATTTTGCAATTAAATTATAAGTAAATATAATTTTCGAATATTATATATTAAATTTTTTTTATTAAAGATAAATAAATAAACGATATAAAAAAACTTATACATTCTTGTGCAACTAATTAAATTTTATAAATTTATCTGCATAAATCATTTCCATAATTTATAAAGATTTGTTAGACAAAATTTGTGTGCGTATACAATTTCTAATAAACGCGTGTACGAATATGGTCAATAACCTGAAATTAATTTAGAAATAAAATTTCTAATTTACGAATTCTGCTCCAATAATACTGGTATAGATCTGCATACGTGAGTATTCACTTCCTATGATGCAATCGTGATTTCGATTTCGACTTCAGACATATCTGGTCCGGCGGACCTGATGTAAGAGACGGAAAATATATTCCGAGCAAGAGCAAGATGCGATCCGATCACTGACTGACTGACTATGAGTGAGTGAAAGTTACCCGGCCGCCCGTCGTTCGTAAACAGACTGCTTGATAACGGCAGGACACACTCGCAGTTCGCCTTCTTCGAGAAAGTTCACGCTTGTGTGGGAATGGTACAACGTAAGTGAGATGAAATTATTCAGATAAAATACAACAAACTACATCTGATATGTTTCTAAGTGGATTTGTGAAGAACAAATATTTACTTGTTGATCGTCGAAAGATTAACGCCGACCGTACTTTCCTATTCTGGCAACTGACCGACACAGGTTGAAAAGGCGAAGGCTTGTGATACGGAAAACATATTATCAGTGACAAATTCGAATGAAATAATCGACCAACAAAAAAATAAACCTGTGGGGCGTATGGCATCGTGCCTTAAGGCAAATTGCTGGAACTTCCAGTACCAAAAATTATTTTTTTTAAAAAAGATTAACATTTTTAAAAAAAAATTACACTGAAAAATTAGATTTTTAGAAATTAGATTGCTTTTTCAAAGCAATCGTACTGCTTTAACTGCATAGAGACGAAATATGGAAGCGCGTTAGCGCTGCGCCGCCGTCTAACGGATAAGCATTGGTACGGAACCCATAGGAATGTAAACAAAATTTATACTTATTGTTAAAATCTCTATAAAATACCTGATAATTTGATGTGCATATGTCTAATGATCATTTTTGACCGCCAGATGGCATTTTTTTTTACTTTTTCCACTAGATCTCCAAAACCGCTAGACCTGCCTTCATGAAAATTTGATCAGTTCTTCATCTTGTTAACACAAGTAAAATGTTTTTTGAATTAATCAAATCGGACGCTCCGTTCTCTTAAAAGCGGTGTTTTTGTCACTTTTTACCCCATATGCAAAAAACTAATCAGCAACGTCTCCTTATCAATACGAATCGAATGTTTTTTGAATTATTCAAATCGCTTCATCCGTGTTCCCGAAATCGTCGACGCAAATTTGTATCCGAACACACACACACCACACATACATCCATTTTTTCTAAGGTATGCCAAAATATTCAGAAATGTCTGAAACGTAAAGATATATAAAAAATTTCATTTTCGATTTTTTTGCGATTACTATAACTTACCCTACGGGAAGTTAATTAGAGATGCATTCATACTGTTAAAAAATTGATAAGACAAAATACATTGCGGTTCCATAGGAATCAATAGTGATGAATTTGTATTTTTGATAGAAATATAAGATGACCGCATTTCCAGCTTATGTCCATAATCTAATATATGGGCATAATTTAAAATCAATATTTGTCCTGGTTTTAATCTGTTGTCCCGAATTGTCCTGATATTTTTGAAATTAATAGGTAATAAAAGGTAAATTAACAAAATTATGAGAACAAACGAACAAGTGCTAATTTTTTTTGAATTAATTAAGAAGAAAATCGAATAGAATTTTATACAAGGCTCAAAGCGAAGAAAAACATAGATCGAGAACTATAAGATGTAATATGATATAAATAAAAAAAAAATTACATACAATCGAGTAATGAAGTTCTGAAGTTCTGAAAAAAATTTTTTTTACTGTATCCTTAAAAATCATTAGTTCCGGATTAGATAGCTAAAATTGCCATCGCGGTTTTGACTTAAAAAATATGGTCACCTTACAGAATAATGACTTTTTGTTATCAATACGCATCACAACTATTTTTTTTTAATATTAAATGTCCATTATGCAATCCTGTTTTTTATGGAGCCAAAACACAAATACAAACTGATAGTAACCAATGTGTTTGCAAAAATGCAATAAAGTAATAACAATAATATTTTTGAAAATTTTTAATAAAGCAATTTAAATATCGCTTAATAATTAAACAAATAAGTGGTAAAAACTATTTTCATTACTTTCAATTCATATTATTTATATATAGAATTTTATTTATATTACTATTTTTGAGATTGAGTTAAACTATTCTAAAAATCCCAATTTTTTTCAATTTTCTTTTAAACTTTAATGCTATATAATACTAAAAATACAAGTAGATAACAATACTAAAAAATACGGAGGCATAACACTTTTATTAAAAACACTGTGAGAAAGCAATATTATATCAATAGATTTAATTACCAATTATTACTTGTAAATCATTTGATATATAGTTTCTTGTAATATTGATTTTACAAGGCAAGTAAATCGATTGATTTGCAATAGCATTAGAAATTATTTCGATACAAACAAATTACATCAGGAATCCAAAATTCATTCTATCTTCTAAAGATCTTACTTCAATTTCTCGACTAAATATTTATAGCTACCATTTGCACTTTCGAGCACACAGTCGTTTGCAATATAACATTGCAGTGAGAAAACTTTCACTCTTACAGTATTCTAAATCATTTACCATTAGAACACCTATAA